TACTAGGGACCCTGTCCTCCGCGCCTGGGTGGTACTGCCCGTCCCGGGGAGGCAACGGCCGCCCCACCCGCCCCTCCTCCCGGCCCTGACAGGAACCAGGCCGGCCTCCGCAGGCCTCTGAGCCCAGTACCGGAGCGGGGAGGGGAAGTGGTATGGGCAAGTCTCGCTGTGTACCGCGGGAGGGACTCCCTGCCTGGACCCCCCAAAGCCAGCGTTTGGCTCTTTCCCTCAACCTGAAGTGCCAAGATGGCGGCGGACTACAGCTTCGGGAGCGAAGGAGGGGCGGGAATGCGAGGAGGGTGGGCCGTACCATCCCCACCCCGGGGGAGAGAGGAGAAACACAGCAAGGCTAGAAAACTAAGGAACGCCCCCTCGCTCCATCCAAGCGTGGATCTTCCCACTCCCCTGGGTCTAGGGCGGGCTTCACCAGCATGGCACACCCCCTTCCTCCAGGGCCAATGAAAGGAGCAAGTCGAGAACCCTGGGTTTTATGAATGGGTCCCGCGCCCACCTACCTGTCACCTGGCTTCCACCCGACAAAGGGTCGAGTTAAGAGACAGGCAGTACCTCCACTTACCCTAGTAACCTTAGGATTCTTTGGCTCATTTCATTAAATCTTTGAGTTAACTGCCCAACACTTTAGTTACATAATATTTCTAGGATGAAGCATCTCCACATATTCGACATAAATCATGAGTTAACATTGTTCAGTATGGAAATTCTCAAACGCACATGGTCACTCTATAAACAGTTACAAAAAGAAATATACCCTTCATTACTAACTAATAAAATAAACATAACCCTAGCATAGTAAAGTGTGATGAGAAGATAAAATGAATAGCAAGCGTATGTTAACATTCTTTCTAGTAAAAGACTTGGGTTTTAAGCATGGCAAAGCCTGGCGTGATAAGTGCTCAAAACAGAAATCCAAATACATTTTAAGCAGAATCAGTAATTAGCAAAACTGCCCAACTAATGTACAGGTCAAAATAGCCTAGGTGCCAGGCATGGTGGCTGATGCCTATAATCCTAGCACTCTGGGAGGTTAAGGCTGGAGGTTCACTTGAAAGCAGCTAGAAACCAGCCTGGGCTACATAGTGAGCCTGTGTCTCTGAAAAAAACAAAAAGAATAGAGAACAAAAAGGAGAAAGGCATAAAGACAGGAGAATGGGCTCATCACTGGTAGGAGAGTGGGTATGGCACCAGGCACATGCACTGAGGCTGGCAGGTTCAAGCCTGTCCCAGGCCAGCTAAACAACAATGACAACTGCAATAAGAGAATAGCTGGGTGTTGTGGTGGGCGCCTGTAGTCCCAGCGACTTGGGAGGTGGAGGCAAGAGAATTGCTTGAGCCCAAAAGTTTAAGGTTGCTGTGAACTATGACACCCCGTACTCTACCAAAGGCAACATAATGAGACTCTGCCTCAAAAAAAGAGAAAAAGGAAGCCATGAAATAAACAGCTTCCATTTTATTTTCCTTTAGGAGCCAGGGAGCATATTGGCCATTTGGTCTTGACTCCTAAAATCATTTGGCTACACAGCTGTTCTGCCTACATTACAGAACCCAAGCAGCAGAAAAGGATGATACCCTTGATCCTATCAATGAGAGAATAGAATCCAAGAAGCAGAAAAGGATACCCTGGATCCTATCAGTAAAACCAGGCTCCTCCTAAACCAGCCAAATTCAAAGAGAAAAATAAGTTGGCCTGCCTCAATGTATTACTTGCTAGCAACGTTCAAGGTAGTTCTATTACATAAATCATTATGTAAAGTCATAAATCAAACAAAATATTCTTACAAAACTAAATTTTTTTACACTGACTTTTTTTAAAAGCATGTAAAAATTTTACATATGTACATATATACATTACACTTTTACAGTTCCAAAGTCCAAAGTCACAGTTCATTTAGGGCTTTGGGGGTTGTTTTCTCTATGTTCTCTGTCATCCCTTTGGCTCTGCCCTGACATCATTCTGTCACATTATCTACTAAATCAGGTAAACATTCATCTATCCCAGGAAGCACAATCTATCTGGGTAATTCTGGAGAGAGGTTTCTGAAAGGTCTAGTCTATACTGAAGCAGACTGGCCACATAGGTGAGAGAAAAGTAGCACAATAAATAGTATAACCCCAGGAAGCAGCCTCCATTCTCACACCAAGATGGTTCAGTGCCCACCCACAAAAACAGTCAAAACCCACTCTGCATCCAGCGAACATTACTAAGAGTCCCATAAAGCAAGTCACACTGGTTCTCAAAGGAAGTGAGCTGTTTCAGGAATCAATGGAGGAAGGTCACTTTGAACAGCGGTGGTTTGATATTTGCAGAAGAAGTCATTCAAACTCTTATAAAGAGAAGTTTTAAGGGGTCAGCAGCCTCCCTGAAAATTTCAGGAAAACCAGTAAAAGGGGACAGGTTTCATCTTTTCATAAAGTTCTTCTCCAGAGCTACTGAGGTTCTCTGTAGAGAGTAGATATTCCGCTTCACCCGGTCCTCCAGGGAGGAAGTAGATGCACTCTCTAGCTTCATGCGGCTAGGAAGAGAAGACAGGCGGGTGGAAGTCAAAAACATTTTGCACTTGGTCAACTATCTGGCAGAACTAGAAGAAATGGGTTGCTCGCCATAAAGCAGCTGGACAAACACAAGCTCTTTGAAGCCCTCATAGATACCCTTCTCATGATCCATCTGGAACCAAACTTTTTATTTTATTTTTATTAATATAATAACATTGTATTAATTTAATAATTTTTTTTAAGACAGAGTCTCACTTTGTCACCCTGGGTAGAGTGCTGTGAAGTCATACCTCACAGCAACCTCAAACTCTTGGGCTGAAGCAATTCTTTTGTCTAAGCCTCCCAGTAGCTGGGATTACAGGTATAGCCACAGTGCTTGGCTATTTTTAGAGACAGGGTCTCTCAGGCTGGTCTTAAACCTGTGAGCTCTGGCAATCCACCCATCTCAGCCTCCCAGAGTACTGGGATTACAGGCGTGAGCCACTGCGCCTGGCCAGGAACCAAATTTTTTTTTTTTTTTTTGGAGACAGAGCCTCAAGCTGTCCCCCTGGGTAGAGTGCCATGGCTTCACTGCTCACAGCAACCTCCGACTCCTGGGCTCAAGTGAGTTTCCTGCTTCAGCCTCCCAAGTAGCTAGGACCACAGGCACCCGCTACAACGCTCGGCTATTTTTTGGTTGCAGCTGTCATTGTTTTTTGGCGGGCCCGGGCTGGATTCGAACCTGCCACCTTAGGTGTATGTGGCTGGCACCTTAGCCGCTTGAGCCACAGGCGCCGAGCCGAACCAAATTTTTTAAACCAATATCCATAAAGGAAAATTTATCTATGTTGGAAAATAAATCAAAACCTCATTGGAAAAAGGCTTCCTGAACCATGAATTCTTATTTCAAAGGCAAGCCAAGGAGTTTGAAGGATTTAGAAAACACCATTCACTTCCTCTCCCCTCAAACCAAAAACATCCCACTGTCTAGCCAGAAGCTAGGAGTAAAAAGGTGGTCTGGAGCCTGAGTACCCTGAGAAGACACAGAAACTCATAGAACACAATGAACCAGCTGCCAGCCTGCCTCCTGGAGACTGTGAGAGCCCCCAATATGAAGAAGATCCACTCACTGGATAAATTTCCCATCCCGGGAGTCCAGCTTCTCCAGCCGCTGCTCCCGCTCCTCATCCTTAGCATGCCTCTTGAGAGTGTTCAGTCTCTCTTCCTCCCGCCACTTGGCATTTTCCATCATTTCTTGCCGTTTTCGCTCTAGTTCCTCTGCTGAGAGTTTTCTGTTGAGGACAAAAACAATCCAATCAGGAAAAAAAACAGATGTAGCCCAGTGAGCACAGAAGTTAGATCAGGTAGGGCCCCAGGTTCTCCAGCTCATTGCTTTCTCCAAGAGAAGCCCAGCCCAGTGCCAAGCCAGCTTGAGTCCCCTTCCTTCCTAACATCTTGGCCAGGTGGTTTCATCCAAATTTCAAAGACCATTAATGAAGTATTCCATAAGCTCAGTGATGTCAAGAGTGATTATTCTCAAACATTAAATATGTATGAAATTAAGAACCGGACAGGTTTCATCTTTTCATAAAGTTCTTCTCC